GCACTGGAGGGCTGGGTGGGACTTCTGGGTGTAACCCCATCATGCCCCGCCTCCACAGCTGACCTATCTGCCCCAGCCCTGGGGCAACTGCCGGGCGGAGAGTGGGCTCAGGGAGCCTGAGCTTCAGGGCTACTCAGCCTACAGCGTGTCTGCCTGCCGGCTGCGCTGTGAAAAGGAGGCTGTGCTTCAGCGCTGCCACTGCCGGATGGTGCACATGCCAGGTGGGCGCCCCACCCCCCGCCAGCCCTCCAGGGGCAGAACACTGCTCCTGTGCATGGGGGCTGGTGCATGTGTACAACGTGTGCATATGTCTCTACCCACGTGAGTGTACACGGTATGCGTTTGAATTTTCTGCATGTTTTCACATATGCACATGGGAGTGTGCACATGTCTGTTTGTGTGCATGTTAATATGTATTTATGCATACATGTACTTGTGTTCATCTCTGCTTGTGTACTTGTAGGGATTGCGTGCATGTGCTTGAACACATGCATGCAAATGTGTGTGCATCTATGTGCCCCCAAGCACACATTGGTTTGTGTGCATATATGCATGTGTATATTTTCATGCTGATATGCACCAGCATGTATAAACTCACATATGCACGTGTATGTGCAAACACACACATGTATGGGCATGCATGTGTGTGCCCACATTTGGGAATGTGGTGGGGGAGCACGGATGGAACCGTAGACTCCAGGAATAATCTTCTTTCCTTTCAGGCAATGAGACCATCTGCCCGCCAAATATCTACATCGAGTGTGCTGACCACACACTGGGTCCGTGCTGCCTTCTCCCCTCCCTGCCTTTCGTCACCCTCTTCTTCATCTCTCTGTCCACCCTTCTCCTCACTGTCTTGGTTCCCCTCCTCCCAGTCTCTTCCTAGGGGGCTTCTTCCTGGGGGGTTGAGCCATATCCCCATACTTCCAGGGGTCTGAGGACCTTTGCAGGTGTGTTCCTTGGGTAAGTGCAGGCAGTGGGGTGGGGGGTGTTGCAGAGAACCTGGGACTGAGAGTGAGGGCTGGACTTCTCACCTTGGTTCTGCAGATGAGCTTGCCTCTCTGGGAAAGTGAGATGACTTTTCCCTTGGTGTGAGGAACGTTGCATTGCTGGCTATTGGTTTAAGTAAGGCAACACGATCTGTCCATAGGTGTCATCTGATTCTTCCTTCCTTCCTTCCTTCCTTCCTTCCTTCCTTCCTTCCTTCCTTCCTTCCTTCCTTCCTTCCTTCCTTCCTTCCTTCATTTCTTCCTTCATTCTACAGATGTTTACAGCCTGCGCTGGTGCTGGAGGTAAGAGTGGGAACAAGAGCCCGGCAGGGCTGTGGACAGGCATTACAATGCAGGGTGTTAGTTCTTGGGAAGGGGAACCTCAGGGTTCCTACAGGGCCCCAGGAAAGGTATGCAACCCTGCCTGGGAAGGCAGAGAGGATTCTTAGAGGAAGTGACACATGAGCTGAGACTTGAAGGCTGTGGAAGAGTCAGCCAGGTGAAAAGGGGGACATGTTCTAGGCAGTAGGAACAGCACGTGCTAAAGACCAGAGACAGCATGTGTGTCTGGGGCCATGAAAGGGCAAAGTCAGTGTGGCTGGAGGGCAGAGAACAAAGGAGCGGGTGGAAAGAGTGGAGGAGGCACTAGGAAGCCAACAACAGCTTAAGGTGAGGCAAGAATGCTATCTGATTTTAAGAAGGTGACTCTGATTAGATGTGAGGATGGATTGGGGGAGGAAGACCAGAAGCAGGGTGACTGGTCAGGAGAGCATTGTGGGAATCCAGATGCTGGAGCCATGGGGATGGATTTGAGATGCTGGGGCAGTAGAATCACATTAAGACTTTCTCTGTCCCACACACCAACTACATCTGCCAAAGGGGTGATGGAAGGTGATTAATGAAGGAACAGATGTGTGAGTGGGGCTAGGGGAACCACAAGGGGTGGTGAGACTCCACAGAACTCACAACACCAGGGAGTCTTTCCTACCTGGGCCTGAAGGGACAAAGGAAAGGAACGCTCCTGGGCCCAGAAAGGAATCCCGGGCTGCCTGAGATGGATGGGAGCCAAGAGCGAGGGCCACAAGAGGAGGAATGTAGCCTCTGCCACCTAAATACCCCAGCATCTCTCCTCTCCTTGCCCTGTGATCCTGCTGGGGCCTCCCATTGGTTAAACCTAACCCAAAGCCAGTGGACAGGGAGTCTAGGTGATGCATTTGGCAGAGATCAGACCTCTGGGACAGAATAAGGTAGGGAGAGTGGAAAGTGGATCTGAAGCGGTGAACAGAGGAAACCCAGCATCCTGAGAATACCAATCCTGTCCATTTGTTCTTCTGTCCGTTCATTCATCCATCACTCCACTCATCCATATGCATATGTGAAAACATGCATAAATCCCATTCATCCTAGCATCCTCTCCAAGCCCCTTGTGTGTCCAAGGCCTCATTGACTAATTAGCTCTGGTGAATGGGCTGTGCCCTCCCTCTGAGCCAGGAGGACCTCTCTGCCCCAGGGGGCTGGGAGGCAGAGGGATACAGGAGTGTGTTGGGGGTTCTGCCTCCACCCACTTTCTCTGGTGCTCTGAAGCTGGTCCAGGAAGGGACTCCCATCCAGTCTCCTCTAGACAGTGCCTGCACTGGCCAGAACAGGCCCTCAATGTGGCCATGCCTGCCTCAGGACACCCCTAAGATTCCTCCTTGCAGTTAGAGGGCCTCTGGGCTGCCCCCGGCCCCTACTGTAGTTGGTGCCTCTATATTGCAGACTCCCTGGGCGGGGGCTCCCAAGGCCCATGTTTCTGCCCTACCCCCTGCAACCTGACCCGCTACGGGAAAGAAATCTCCATGGTCAGGATCCCCAACAGGGGCTCGGCCCGGTACCTGGCAAGAAAGTACAACCGCAACGAAACCTAC